TAGTCGCATTTGATATACATGAGGATATGAATGAGACAATTCTTTGTTGACTTCCAAAGGGCCTCTTCCGATAGTTCATAACACTGAAATTTGTCTCACAAGATATTGATCTACGGTTCTACTGAAGGGAGTTTCACAGTTAGAGACTTTGAAATGTACAACAAGTATGGCGAATGTCATTGTTTCCGGGGACACAGTGGTTTCTGAACATAAATGCCACGTTCCGGGAGTACAATGGTAAGCAGAATGCGAGTTTCCATCAACATCAAAACGTGTGAATGTCTGATATCCCGCAGAGGGTGGTGGGGGACAGGGGTGACGTAATTGTACGTGTGGGAGGGTGGGGCTCATCCATCAGACATGTCACCACAGCGCCACGTGCAGAAGCGCCTTCATTACAAAGCAAAACGCTGTAAAATTTCAAGTAATTTGGGGAGGACACATACAAGTCAATAAAGAATTATCTTAAATTGCAACTGTGGTTACAAATTATTATTATTATTATTATTATTATTATTATTATTGGGGCACGCGGTAGCGTAGTTGGTTGAGGCACTATGCTACAAGCCGGAAGGTCGCGGGTTCGATTCCCGATGAGATCATTTGATTTTTCAATTGAACTAATCCTTCCAGCCGTACTATGACCCTGAGGTCGAGTCAGCCTCTAACAGAAATGAGTACCAGGAATCTTCCTGGGGGTAAAGGGGCGGCCGGCGCATAAGGCTGACAACCTCACCGCCATCTGTGAGCCGATTGTATAGAAAATATGAAAGCCTCGGCGTCTCACAACCCTATGGGCCTCCACGGCCAGTTACGGGGATAGTTTTACCTTTTATCTTCTTCTTTCTCTTCTTTTTCTTCTTCTTCTTCTTCTTCTTCTTCTTCTTCTTATTATTATTATTATTGTTGTTGACTTTATTCTGGCAAAAGTTTGGCGTCTTCAGTTTCCACAGCAATCTATTCTCCCAGTTTTATCTTCCAAATTTCGATCTCCCGTAATGGACTTGATATGTGACATATGAGGTTCTCGCAGCTGTTGCTTTGCACATCAATATCTTCTGGGATGTGTCGCCTTTTAATCGGTAGAAGTTTGCTGATTTTTCGGAGGAACGTATTACCTCCATCTTTATGGTCGAAGAATAAACCAAACAACCAACGGATATCAGCTCTTAATATTTTGATATGAAGGCTGAAATTCAGAATATCTTAACAAGAATAGGCGACCATTGCTTGTCAACGGCGCGGCAAACACTTATCCGTGGCAACGAATAAACACGCAACAATATAGAAAATGTCAGAAGCGGTGTTTTCTATGCGGCCCGTGCCGAGTCTGTGTAGTGAGGACAAGCGGGAATTTAGTCTGATCATGAATCCCATGAGACTCGGAACCAAGAATCGCCGTGCTGGCGAAGGACAGCAGCAATTTAGCAGGCAGTTAGTCTGTCAGAAGTCGGAGTAGGTGGTTAGCAGTCTGGAGTTGAATTGTTAGCAGCCGCTACATAGCAACGACTAGTGAACAAACAGAAGACTTTATATGTGCTGGAATTGTAGTTATTTGTAGATGTGTAAATCAGTAAGATAATTATACGGGTAGTTATTTGTAGTTGCAAGTTAACAAGTGTTCAATAAATCCAATTATCAACCCAAACCCCGTGTCTAGTCACTAACACGTGACAATGTTTATTTTCTTGTCAATAACTCTTTTTAATTTAATTTTTAATTCAGTGGCCATATTTTACCTCCCTATCTCACTGCATAATAAAACCGTAATGTAATTCGTGATATAATGGTAACACAGTGCGCCAACAGAGCGCTGCATGCGCTGCTTGCGGGTCGTAATAATTCTTTCGCTAGTCTCTCCAAATAAATGTCGCGATAGAGCCTTAAAATAGGACACAGCTTTCGCAGCCACATTCTTTGCCTTTGTCATTCGCTATCATCCACCCATTGAACACTGTATAGTCCCAATTAATTATAGGATCAGTAAATAAAATTGTCCCTGTGGTTAATTAAGCATCGGGTCATCAAGAGACATGAGTGGAGATATACCGTATTTACGCATGTATAGGCCGCACATTTTTTGCCAAAAATTCAAGAGGAAAACTGGGGTGCGGCTTATATTCGAAATATTCGAAATCACACTTCATTTAAAAAAAATATATATTCATAATTAGTAATACAGGATGTTCTACTCATGAAATAATATTCCAAGAAAATTATTTTTTCTATAATTTCTGTCTGAAAATTGTGCTGCGGCCTATACATGCACGCGGCCTATACATGCGTAAACTAGACCAGGCATGGCATTCTTAACCTCAACATTAGAGGCGAGTGGTCAGTTTCACCCTCCGGTTGCTTTACCCTCGCGAGAAGAGCACTCAGTATCCACTGGATAGGCCTCAGAGCTGGTTTGAGAAAAGAAACCTTTTGCCTCTGCCGGGAATAGAGCCCCAACCACTACACATAAATAAACAGAAATTTGATACCAGTTTCGATGTAATCCTCGTGTAACGAAGGATCTGCACACGAAAATATCCTGTAGTGTCGCATTAATGCTCACACTTGCAGGCGAATCTCCTCTGTTAGCGAGAACTGCTTTCAAATTGAGACATGTGTAATGACTTCCACACTCCAGCTCAGAGTGTCTTGCAAGGGGTGGCAGATGTGCTGCACAATTAACTTAGGGGTGAATAATTGGTGGGGGTGAGTAGCGGACACCTGCACCGCACGTGCAGAGGGAGTAAGTCCTGATTGTTTTAACGCGTCCCAATTTATCAACCGTGACGTACTAAATCCGGATTATCCTTGGAACTGATCTCACCCATATGTGACTCGATACAGCTTAATGGCTGTAGTGAGGCGGTCGCGCGGCTTCCAGTCAGCTTTGTCACCCGCCCTGGAATTTACTTTTCCTATTTTATGACCAGGAGTCGGGATAGGTCCATCAGTATAGCGACGAACTACAGGCTGGGCGGCCTGGGTTCGATTCCTGACGACAGCAAGATTTTTCTCCTCTCCACAGCGCCCAGAGCGGCTCTGGGGTCCACCCATCCTCATACACAACGGATACCGGGACAATTTCCCCGAGGTTAAAGCGGCCGGGGCGTGAATCTGAAACCCCACCTCCATCTAATGCCGAGGTCAAGAATGGTGGAACTATACTTCCATTACCCCGTATGTCTTCATGGCAAAGATAAAAAAGTAACGCTGTCCCTGTAACAGGAAGTGGAGGCCCATAGGATTGTGAGACGTCGAGGCTCCCACATTTTCTAGACCAGGCATGTCCAACTTCAAACAGGTTGTGATCGACTTTTTAGTGTCAAAACTGCCAGTGATCTACCACCCCCTCCTATCGTCGTACCTCACTTTAAGTAAAAATATTGGTAAAAATAACACGACACATGATGTTTATTTCAAAAGCAACATACATTGAAAGTACAGACTACTTTAACACGTATTTTCCCTTCAAAATCTGAATATAATTATATTATATTAAAGTTAATTTACATGCTTTTCACGTATAATTTCCTTCTAGGCCTATGAGATCGACCAAAAATCGTCCCGCGATCGACGCGTTGGACATATCTGTTCTAGAGAATCGGCTCACAGATGGCGGACAGGTTGTCAGCCCTTTGCGCGCCGGACGCCCATTAATCAGGAAGATTCCTTGTACTCGTTTGTTATAAGTTGAGTCGACCCCAGGGTAATAGTGCGGCTGGAAGTATTAGGTCAACTGAAAATTTCAATGACCTCATCGGGAATCGAACCCACGACCTTCCGGTTTGTAACCTAGTGCTTCAAGCACCTACGCTATCACGTGGCATAGTGCTTAATTAAGCTCAGGGATAACTTTATCTTTTTATGGTTATTTGACGATGCTACTAGTAGCTCAGATTGTATAGTGTCGAAAGCTGAGATGATTTAGAGAATAATCAATTAGAAATTTTGTGGAACAAAGATATCGTGGTCTATTTTGACATAATATACCTGCATTCCCGTGAAGAGTCTGAGGAAAACTGTGAAAATCCTCAGGATAGCCAGTCTCTAAGCTTGACCGCGAATTTCCCGACGTACTGTAAAGCGACGTCCATCTTTCTTTAAATAAAGTCGCAACGTAAATTAAACTCACTGAGCACAAAACGCCAAGAGACATAGACATGTCCCGTTTGGGACAGATTTCTATTTATCCCTTTCCATGCTGAGATTTTTTTCTGATTTAGATTGAAGTATCAGAGAACTTATGGGCCTGTGTAATTTTGTAACCTAACGTGTCAGGAGACTATCTGTACATCTGTAACCCAATCTAACTCAGCCAAATCTGACATATTCCAAGTCCATGCAGCAGAATCCTTGAGAAGCCAATACTTGCTTAGCCACTCAAAAAAATCCTAGCATTTTATGGAACCCCGAAAGTTCACTATCGTGTTCACAAGAACCCGAAACTGGTTCCTATCCCGACCCAGATGAATCTAGTTCACGACTTCCCATCATATTCCTTCAAAACCCATCCTCCCATGTATTTCTAGGTCTTCCTATTGGTTTATTTTCTTCAGGTGTTTTCTGTTGGAGAAAAGCGCGCGATACAAAAAAAAATAGGAAATATGTTGAAAATATACGTTCTTTGTGATCTGCCACATGCTATTATAAATACATGGAACTCTACTTAACCTTACCAGTATTAACCACTTGCAGGTTGCGGTCGTACACATGTCTTTTGACTTAACATATTACAAACTATGGTCATGGGTCCCGACGGGGCCCGAAACCAAGGATGACTATGCTGGCGAAGGCCAGTAAAAAATTACAGCTCTGATCTAGATTACGTTATGATAGGAGTCATCTGGGTTGTGATATTGTGAAGAGGCGTAAGTGTTCACGAGCATTTCGGTGGAATATACTGCCTCCTTCTTGAAGGTATAAGACAAATTATCGGTGACGTAACCCAGTAGGCCACAGTCTCCCTGCCATGGTTCCTAACCCTCACATCCATGCTGTTGCAGTTCGATCGTGAGTTCAAGGCCAAGCGGCTGGGGAATTGGGAGGTTCCGAAGTGGTACCCCGACCGTCCGAGGCCTCCCAGAAAGACACCCACCCGAATCATAGTGAACGAACGCGGTCATCTTCTTCCAGGAATTCAGCGTGCTCCTGGGGACTCCGCCTGGGGCAACTACAAAGGCACCTGGGACTTGCCCAAAAAGATTTCCCGCAAGCTGGGTTAGTATCTAGGCCCTATGTACGAGTGTGCGTGTATGTAAGACGAGAAGCTTCCCGCTGAATGGTACACTTTAACTGCTTTTGGTCGTGTTTTATTTCTTTCTTTCTTAGGTACTTTAACAACGCTTTCCTTATTGAGACCATGTAGCGTCAGATGGTAGGATGATAAGTAACTGGGAAGGATTTGAAAGGAAACGGTCGTGGCCTAATCGAGGTACTGTTACAGAATTTGCCTCGAATGAGTCATCCTTACGGTTCACTGTGCCTCAGTTGGTAACATGAGGCTAGTAATGCCACTGCCCAGAATTGTCTTGTCTGTATATAACTGCCGGCAAGGAAGCTCAATTGTCTCGTTACCAATGCTGATTCCAAGCAATAACAGTTCATAAAACCATTCTCTCACTATGGGTGATGTCCACAACTCTGTTCTTTCCATCCCAGTTTCTAATATCTCAAACACAATTTAGAATATTTTATTCATTTTAATAACTCTGGTCGGAACCCTCTGAAGTTGACCTAAAAGCTGTAATATGTCGGGTGAATTAATCATTTATTAATTAAATTATGTGTTATATTAAATAGTGCTCTGTGATTAGAAAAATACAGCAAAATGGCAACAATGACTTCTGTAATTTTCTTATGACGTATACCAGCATACATGTTTAAAATTTTAAACTTATGAAAATTACTACGTTTTAGAGGCTGGATCTTGCATCCGTCTTCAGGTAAAAACTTAAAAAAGGAGACGCCTACAATGTAGGACACGGATGCCGCAAGAAAATGTCCTAATAACTTTTAAAGGACTTCATCGTCTCCTATCCCATTTATTTAGTAAAATATTTGCGAATTTCTTCTGCATACTGCAAAATTTTCCTCCATTTACATATTTCCTACGTTTCACACTTAAACATTTAGTATAACACGGACCTAATTATGATTTCTGATCCTTAATCGCTTGAAATAAGTAATTCCGTTACGGAAGTTTTACCAATAATTATGAAGCCATGATAGCTCCATCGTTATAGCGACCAGGCTACTGACTGGAGGGGGATAGATTCCCGGCAGGGAAAACATATTTTCTTTTCTCCACAGCGTCCAGACAGGCTCTGAGGCCCACCCAGCCTCCTATCCAATGGGCGCCGAGGGCTGTTTCCCCGGGGGTAAAGTGGCAGGAACATGAAGCTGACCACTCACCTCCATCCAGTGTCCAGGTTATTAATGGTGGAGCCATACCTCCATTTTCACATACGTCTTCATTTCGTGGTGCTTAAATAAGTACAGAGGCAAATTTATCTCTGCATATATAAATGTTCATTGGTTATTCCTGACAACTGATGAACAAAAGCCAAACCCCGAGGGATGAATTATGACTTAAGGGGGATAAGTTTCCCCACAGTACATCAGAACTAGCTGCAAGAACGCCGTTGCGTTAGTAACGAGGTGGGAATTAAACAGTTTGTTTGATGTTCCAGCATACGAGTTGACACAACCGCCTTTATCACGCCTCACCCCATGGGAACGCCGTTCCTCCCACGTTCCTTTGACAACGCCCGGCACAGTTGTGAGCACACAGGTGGAGGATAAAGAGGGAAAGACCGAGGTTTCGCTTCCTCAGCACGGAGACAAGGAAAATAATCCAACTGGTGTGAGTAGTGCCACTCTTGCTTTCACACAGTTGCATGAATTTTTGAGTTTAGATTGCTTAGCATTGTTATTTTAATCCAAAAGTTCGGGGGCTCGATTCCTGTTGAGGTCATTGGATTTTTCAATTGACCAATTCCTTCCAGCCGCACTATGGCCCTGGAGTCGACTCGGCCTCTGACAGAAATGAGTACCAGCAATCTTCCTGGGGGTAGAGGGTCGGCGCGTCGGCGCGTAAGGCTGACAACCTCACTGCCATCTGTGAGCAGACTCTCTAGAAAATGTGGGAGCCTCGACGTCTCACAACCCTATGGCCCTCCACGGCCTGTTACAGGGATAGCTTTAATTGTTTGCCTTAACCCCACAAATAGCAAGGAATAGCCTAACAATAAACTGCTGCTGGTTCTCGCCAGCACAGTTATTCTTGGTTTCGGGCGACCCATGACCAAATTTTATTCGTTCCAAAACCCCCTCTTCTACGGGAAGAGGGGATGGTGTTTCTGAATGAGCGCCACATTTGTTGCCCCGTAAATCCGGGCGAATGTGCCCGCACTCACGCAGCGTCCAGGTAAGGACATTGTACGCTATGGACATATGCACACTTCGTCACTTTACCATAATAATATATAAGATATACAGAGGCCCTCTATCAATATAGTAACCTCTCTAACGCCTTAAATACTAACATTCTACTAATATATAAAAATCCTGTTCGTACCTCACAGGAAAAGCATTATCTCCGCTACAGAGAAAACCCGGTTAATGCTGTTTAAGGAGATAATCGCTGTTTATTGTGAGAACCATACGGAACACACACATATCAATCTGTGGACAGAATTCATAGTCTTAGTGTATTAAAGCAGGCGATATACACAGTAACCACTTGGCTTCAAGGTGCTGAGATGTAAATGGATGTTAAGAATGAAACGGTCGTTGCTTCATTTAGATAATTGTCTGTTTATTTGTAATTATAGTAACATACGTAACAAGATGTACAACAGATAGTACGATGAAAAGGTTAAAACTATCCCTGGAACAGGCCGTGGAGGACCATAGGATTGTGAGACATCGAGGCTCCAACATTTTCTATACAAAAGGCGGTGAGGTTGTCAGCCTTAAGCGCCGGCCGCCCTTTACCCCCAGGAAGATTCGTGGTACTAATTTCTGTTAGAAGCTGAATCGACCCCACGACCATGGTGCGGCTGGAAGGATTATATCAACTGAGAAATCCAATGACCTCATCTGGAATCAAACCTGCGATCTTCCGGCTTGTAGTATAGTGCCTCAATCAACTACACTATTGCGTGCCCTGACAACAGATAGTATCTGAAGATAAGAACATGATAGTCGAAACATAATAGTAAAATGACGTTAAACACATATGGTGAGTGTGATAACAACACTGATATGTTGCACTATAAGTGTCTGTCGTATGTACGCCGTGAGTGGGCGTAAAAGGAAACGTAGCAGAAGGGCTGCAATACAGAAATGAGGTTATGTATCGGCATTTTCCTAGAGGAACGAGGGAGAAACTGCCAGCTTCCAGAACGTATTTTGTGGACAAGTCAGTCAGTCATGAAGTTTGCCACTCAACATTCATCCAACGCCGAAATCAAGAACTCGCGGAGTTTTACCTCCACATCCTACATGCAGTTTAATTTTATTTATTTACGACATATTGTGAATTAATTTACGATGCTCTCAGCATACAGATTATGTGTCAACAATGGCAGGGTGCATGATGAATTGTAAAGGATCTTTAAGAAGTAGACCTTGTCCTAAACGAGGCATTATGCCTGCAATTGACTGGAAATACTGAGGAAAGCCACGAAAAATCTTCAGTCAGGATATCCGGTGTCCTGGTCGAGATTCGAACGAGCATCTCCCCAATACGAATCTACGGCGTTACTGCTACGCCACTCCTCTCTGTTCATTGCCTATTTAACGACGTTTCGAATAGCTTGGATTATGCAACGTCGAATGTTAGGATGATCAATGAATAATTAACTGGAAATAATTCAGAACGGAGCTGATGTTTAAAATTTCTCTACCAGCATCGTACTGGAAGGGCTGAGGAGAACCAAGAAAACTGTCACTAAGATTAATCGATATCCGGGCCGACGTTTCAGCCTGAAACATTTTATCTTAGACAGCAACCCCGTCTAATAGAAGTAGTGTTGTGCTGACAAAGTACACTATAAATATAGTCTGTATTCGAACCTGGGACCTTCCGAATACGAAACATGAGTGACAACCCTCTACCGCACATTTCGGTACGACTTAATATTTTCACGCTGGAGCACAGGGTTAATTTTATTTCGTAATAAAATCAGCGTTGAATGCATGTTTTCATGAATGCTGCATGATTTTACTCAGTCACGGTTAGCTTTTGAGCGTCCTGCCACAGCACATGTGTGTCCAGTAGCTGTGCTTGATAACTAAAAGTAAATGATTAACGCTGTTAATTTTAATGGTTTGCCACTCAGGTTTCATCTATTGCTTGATGTAATGCATGCGTTTTGTTATGGATAAGGGCCATGTAAGAAGCGGGAAATCTAATTGCAGCGTCTCACCGTTACACCGAATTGATTGCGTAGTGCACGAATTACATATTCAGAAACCTAAATTTGTTTTATTTGCAATTAAACTCTTTTTTTTGTAGCGAATAATATTTTTGCTTGGTTTTTAAATTATTTGTCCTGTTACTTTTCTCCGCTTGTTCCTGTTCTGATATTGCATTTAAATATAATAAAATCGTAATTTCATTAGTAAATGGTTATTTTCATTGTCTGTTATCAATCTTGTATGTCATTTGGAAGGTTTTTCTGAAAGAGTTTATGCTCTTTTAAGTACTGCAAAAGGGGTGACCAATCTTCTTTAGGCAGGGCCGGTCCTGAAGCACAGGTGAACGTTGTGGCCGCCCTGGGCTGCACGATTTTAGAGACGGAGCTTTTTGTTAAGATATTTTTCTGATTTTTTTTCCCCCATATCGTGACCATTAATTTACAGTAACCTTAACAATTAAGCAAGCATGTGAGTAACTACAATACAACTGATTTTTTTCGTCAGTGTTTGGAAATTTCCTATAAGTTAATTGCGACGACATTTTTTAAACGATATCTGTTTTTCAGCAGAACGCGCGGTGGAATTTCCCGTTCGCCAGGACGACTTGAGACTTGTCCTAGTCCCCACCACTGCGATATAGTCGTTTTCATTCTCATTGTTACGATATACAGCAGCTGTGACTTCGAACTCGTATTCAGAAATTAAAATGTAGCTATATATTTAAAGAAACAGTTGGAATGATACTTCGAATCACACCAAAATAATACATGCATATTCATTTTACAGTCGTTGCTACCGTACGTAGTGATAACGTTTCATGACGTCTTTCGGGGCCTCCGTATTAGGTAAGCGATAGGAAACAAGAAACACAGCAGATACGTACATGTATATATACACACATACACAATGTAATCGTATTTGCTGTGTCTTGTTTCTACAGTTCACCTTATACAGGCACACATTCATTTTTTTTTTCTGCGTATTATACAAGTTTCTGAGATTTGGACTTATTACGGCTGTGAATTCCTCTAAATTATGACACCGTGTAATCTGGTAGATTAATTCGGAGCTGAAGATGGAGGCCGTGTGTTCCTCTGAAAATTTGGTACCCTCCTAATAGAATACACAAAGACACACAATTATCAGTGTCCGTTATTTAAGTGATTTCTCAGATCTGGGAAACGCATTGGTTGAAGCGTTCCGAGGTGGAGTAGGCAGGATGTAAAGAAACGTCGACACTTCCAGAATAAGTATAATACAGAAAATTGATAACAGATTTGCTTGTGTCCTGCGTATTCGCAGAGAGCCAACGGTGATCCTGATTGTTGTGACAGGGTCACGATGAGGACATCATGAAGCCTAAGAGCAGTGGTGCTACTCCTCCAGGATCCGCGGGGCCACTTTGTGTGGCCGGACACTCTGCCACTTCTTCGAAGTTGACGGGGGTCACGCGTCACGATTCGATCAACCACAAATCCCGAACTCCTACGCCTGTCAACAACACACACCCCCCTACACCACTACTTCCCAAACCACACACCCCTACGCCACCCCTGCCAACAAAGTCTCACACCCCGACGCCACCAATTTCCACAAAGACTCGCCCTCCTACGCCACCCACGGGCCTCAAGCCTCCCCTTGCCGGCGCATACTCGAACTTCCAGATAGCGAAGCAGCTGCACCGGGAGAACCTGCAGCACCGGCCGCTGCCAGACACAGTGGACGACAAGCAGTATCGCGCCCTGGAGGCAAACAGGGCGCCATATCCTGGGAAGGGTCTCCAGGTGGAGCCTCCGCGGGTATCAGCGGTGGGGTACCGAGGTTACGGAGCATCGGGTCCGTCCCAGTGCAGTAAGCTGAGGGTGTATCGCCCCAAAACAGCTGTCCAGCTGGAGGAACGCAAGCAAGTGGAAGAAACATTACCCCGCCGTCCTAGTACTGGCCGCGTGTCGGATATGCAGCTTGCCATCTGCTGGGACCTGAAGCCCCCACGCGAGGAGGATGAGCCCCGTCCTTCAGCCCACATAGACGGCAGCAATGGTAGCGTCGCGCCCGCCGTGTTCGCCCTGGTGCGCCAACCATCTCCTGACCACGGTACCAAGGAAAACGGCGACGGGAAGCAGGGCTGTGAGACCAAGCAGGATTGCGTCACCAAGGAGGGCTGTGAGACCAAGCAGGATTGTGGCACCAAGGAAGGCTGCAACACTCCACCGGGTAATGGCGAAAGCATCTTCAATGTGCTTCCAAAGAGTGCTTGGGGGGAAACTAAAGAGAACAATAGCCCCAATGTGGGGAGTGTCCATAGAAGAAACGACAGCGCCGGAACTGAGTGCCAGCATACTTCAGCAACACTAGAACGCCGCAAGGAGCACCAGAGTTCTCCCAACCTCATGACGACTGGCCACAAGCCAGCTAAGCGCTTGCTCGGAGCACGCCCCTGTATGGCCTGCGAACTGAAGCAACTACCCCCACAATACCGCCCCCGGTCCGAATACAAGATGGCCTTCAAAGCGGGTAAGCCCAGCAACAGCTTCGACAGCGGCAGGGCCTGTCGCCCACAGACAGCTGCGGCCAAACAGGTACACGTACCCAAGCCCCGTGCCCCGTTCGCCAAGAGGAGCTACTCTATCGATACTCTGAGGCCACCGTTCAGCCTCTGGCCTGGACACATGGGGCAAGGATATCCGGAGCACTGGAGGCTAGCCTCCGTGTACCAACACGCCTACAAGCCGGTAGAAGCCAGAAGGAAACCACTTCTGGCTAGCGTATACCAGTAGTGAGCGCCATTAGATACCATAGGGATCTGTGAACCACTCTCTGTCAACAAGTAACACAGTTTCTGCCTGTCAGGCATTTTGTTACTATTCTGAATACACTTGAATCACTTTTACTGATAATATTTCGGATATTTGTAAAGGTCATTACTCTACGAACCAAGGGTACATCATGCCGTGTGTAGGCAACCTTATGGAAGAAAAATCGTGTCTAAGTATGTCTGAATTTCCCACCTGTGTATGAACGTCGGAAGTATGTGGAAAATAGAATCTAGTAACTTTCTAACTGTGATGTATCAGTGTAGGTCACGAACTAACAGCAACGTACCCTCATTCCAATACAAGGCCAGTGTGACAGCACAAAGAACCAACCTGGTGTGACATAAATTAAAACCCTCAAGCCTTCTGTTTGTGTTAAACAAAAATATCTGCCAATCTTTTATTCATACTGGCAGTGATCTGAACCTGTTATGGATCAATGTATGAGCAAATAAAACTGTTTTAATAATTATGACAAAAATGACAGTTTTCATAACAGTATCTGGAAATTTCATATCATGGGCAGTTAACTGTGAAGACATTTTTGAGAAGTTGATCTGGTTTATCTGAGAAGGGGCCTACACTTATGCTGGCCCAGTCAACAAAAAAACGACACTTATGTGATACTTCAAGCAGTTAGTTACTGGCTTCCCACCGCAGCGGCCCAGGTTCGATCCCGGGTCTGGTCAAGTGGGATTTGTGGTAGACAAAGTGGCACTGGGGCATTTTTTCTCTGAGTACTTCGGTTTCCCCTGCCAATCTTCATTCCACCAATTGCTCCACAATCACTCTCACCTATCATCTGGGGCTGGTACAACAGGCCAGAAGTGGCTGCAGTGTAAGGGACTTAGTCCCACCCCACTAGCAATAATAAAAAAATATGTGATACTGAAATGTTAACGGGTCAAATCTTATTAGGACCATCCAGGATTCACTAAGAAGCACTTCTGCTGTTGGGAGCTAAGACAGCTCAAACAACATAGTAACTAGACTACAGACTGAACAAGAGAGAATCAGTATTCAATTCCTGGCAAGGGAAAAGATTTGTCTCTTCTCCACAGCATCCAGATTTTCTCTGGGACACACATTCTGTAGAACTTAAACCAGAGGCTCTTTCCCCATTGATAAAATGCCTGGGGCATGAAGCTGACCACTTGTCTTCATCAAGGACCAAGAATAGAATACACGAAGCCAGATTTCCACTTCCCCATACATCTTCATGGTGTGATACTTAATTACGCACAGGAACAACTTTACACAGCTTCAGAAACCAAGAGCCCAATGCTTACAGCGATTTCTACATAACCCAGCATGTCATTTGCACACAGTCTTTTCATTTTTGGACTGGAGCTTGGCACCATAGAAGTAGCGTTAAATTGTTCAGAATAAATAAATTTGACTGTATCCTCCATCTGCCTCATTCACCCTGCAGATAGCAACTGGATTGTACATCAGTATGCTGGGATAATGTCAACCCATGATGCAGCTAAATTCCAAAAAATGGAATTATATATTACATAACTCATTTAAAGAGATTGCTGTAACTGTAGCCTCAAAAACTAGTTTCCATTGACTGAAAAAAGTATATCTGAAATGATGAGTTCATCTTATTGTCCTTAAAAGCATTACCACTCCATGATTCAAATTTTAAAAAGGAGAATAAACTCACCATATGTTTTACAAGCAGTAATGGCTGTGGAACCTTGTCCTCATCTCATGAAGCAGGAAGTTGTCTTTTGGAAAATGGAACTTCAAACCATGTATGTGTTTTAATTGAGTTCTCTTTCTTTGGTACTCAGAGTTACAAATATTGTATTTCAGCATTCTGTTACATTGATGTATCACTTTACACACTCACTTCCACTTTTAATGCAACTTTGTTTACAATTACTCCTTAATTTAAAATAATGAAATTAAAATTAAACTTGATTTGTTTCATTCTGGTCCGTCACACTAACAATTATAAATACAAACCACTCCGTCCAATGTGACATATAAGTTTTTACTACGTTAAAACTTATCTCCCTTACATGTTTCGGTCCTTATGGGCCATCTTCAGAGGGAACATCATTACAAAGTATTGACAATAAAGGTTTTTTAAATAACATCTAGAAACTTTTAAAAACTTTACAACACCAGGAAGCTGCTGTGATTGTGAAACGTTCGACTTTAAGCATACTGTGCATAATAGGATATAAGTGTATGTATTTTAAATAAAACACCTATTGTGATGGTAGTTTCCAGTTTGTAATGATGTTCCCTCTGAAGATGGCCCATAAGGACCGAAACATGTAAGGGAGATAAGTTTTAACGTAGTAAAAACTTATATGTCACATTGGATGGAGTGGTTTGCATTTATAAAATTAAACTGCTACATATTTCAGCCATACTTGGCCATCCTCAGGTAACTGTTCACTTGTTGAAGTTGCTACATGGCATTAGTTCTTAAGTTAAAATACCGTATTTACGCATGTATAGGCTGCACATTTTTTGCCAAAAATTCAAGAGGAAACCTGGGGTGCGGCTTATATTCGAAATATTCGAAATCACACTTCATTTAAAAAAAAAATTATATTCATAATTAGTAATACAGGGTGTAATACTCCTGAAATTATTTTTTCTATAATTTGTCTGAAAATTGTGCTGCGGCCTATACACGCACCGGCCTATACATGTGTAAATATGGTATTCCAATGTTATTCTATTTTCATCATTCACTCATTAAAATAGATTTGCTTGAGAACATCTCTCTTTTATCGTTTCATGTGCTACCTTCTTCTCGCGGCATCCATGTTTTTTTGTGTTGTGTGATTCATCAGCAACCTGCTATCTTGTGATAAAGGGTTGCCACTGAATTTGCTTCAGAAAGATTAGTGTTTGATATCTTTGAGGAATGTGATTTCACATCATTACTTTGAATACTTCTTGACATGTTCTATGCTACTCAAAAAAAAATCTGAATCATAAAGTAACATTCTTGAACTATGTTTTTATCATGATGGTTATTTTGATAGTTTTTTCCAATAACACGAAAAATTTTATAGCAATATTTACTCAAGTTTCGCACATCCATGATAACTATTGTATGCACAGCAGCATTCAAGCATCACTGCGGCAAAGGTGATATTAACAAAGTGAGACAGATTGTGTTTAAATATGCACAGAAATTCAGACTACAGAAGACCAGGAAATAACTTTGTAAACAGAGCAGTTACTATATGATGAGAACATTCTCATAACTTTCCATAGACATGGCTTGCTGTCCATTCCATTAACATGACATAGATAAGAATGGCAGTACACTTCAACGTATAGACCAGAAACATGGACATGGTGAAAAGGCAAGTAATACTAGGCTAACAGCAGCTGAGATGAGATTTTAAGAAGTATGGAAGGAGAAATCAGGACAGGGAGGATAATAAATGAGAAAATGAAAGATAATTCAAAGATAATGCATTGGAAGATAAAAATAATAAAATAAGATGAATGTATAAGGGGTGGGCCTTCTTCGCCCTTGCACTGCGACCACAGTGATCTATTGTGCCTCAATACAATAAGATAGTATGAACATGTTTTAAGACTGAATAAAGACACAATTTCAAAGAAATTTTTAAACATGAAAATAAAAGGAGGCAACAAAGGTTAAGTAAGAGTCACACAGAAGGAAGAAAGAATATGGAGATGGTTGAAGTGGAGCTCCTTTGGGGAAACATAGGCAGATAGAGAAGTCTGACCATTAACAAACCCAAATAAACCTGGAAACAATTAAGGAAGAAGAAAAGTAAGAAAATTGATAGTTTTTGTAAGACTGAATGTAACAAATCACTATTAAATTAACATCATATGTGCCTGCATGAAGATATTATTTCAGGTTTGAGGATAAATATGAACCATGTGTCAACGTTTGTATTAATTTAATTTTTATTGTATATATGAAGTAAGTTTGTAAGTTATAATTAACAGAAAAAATATTCTCCCCATCCATCCATCTGTATGTGAAACTTTGAACTGTAGAATAATTAATGATCTAACCTCTACTAAACATATAAAAGGAAGCTTCTTCATGTTCTGTTGTTGTTGTTATTGTTATTATTATTATTATTATTATGGTAAAAGCATAATTTATGATCATACTTTGTCTTGGCCCATTTTAATGCATTAATGTTTGATGTAATGTAATCATGTACAAACAATACGTGATATTTGTGTCATATTCATTTCTTAGGAAAGGATAGTTTCTCATATGTCAGACATCTGGGATATGAAAGGTACTTACCAAAGAAACCAAGTATTATGGACAGACAGAAAAGATGTCAATTCAGCATGATAAAATGGTAGGACTATGTTGGTATGTGGATCTATACATCCAATACCCCATATGCCTTCATGGTGTAGTATTTAATTAGTTAAGCATAGGGGCAACTTTGCCTTACTATCTTGGTAAGTTTTCAATTATGAAAAATTTCTGCTGATAATTGCATAGATCTGACATATATGATATAAAGAATCCACTGTTTGAATAGTTAGGTATAATTTGTTACTGTTCATGATATGTGGGATTTTTCATTTTGTATAGTTGGTTATGTTTATACAAGATTATGGCGGGAAAAGCCAGTGTTGTTTTTGGTGTGTGATTATAGAATTTTTCGTCTGTCAAGGTAGGATCCTTTCTACAGTTATGATGATGATAACAGTAATATTAATGGCACAATACGGATAAGTCTGTTTGCATTAACTAAATAGGAAATAAGGTTCAAACATAGAGAAATATATGTTCAATTATCTTATCTAAATGGTTTGTTCAATTCAATTCAATTCAATTTATTTGAAATTCAAAAATATATCCAGATACAGGCTGGGAAACAACCATTGGATATAGAATGAGTCACAGATCAAAAAACAAACATTCCATTCCCACAGGAACAAGTCAAGGCATTCATAATATAAAACAAATAAAAAAGAACATAACCATATATACAACAAAACTCCCCCAGTTTACAAAAACAACGCAGAACCAAGACATCTTATTATAGAACTCTCAAAGGTTTCAGGCGTCAGTACAAGCTCTTTTTTCATTTTCATTACTCATCTATTATTTCCATAAAATCCAATACTTTAGGATGTGGAAAAGTCATATTAGATAAATAAGCAGTACAAAGAACTAAGTCAAGACATAAGAACAGAACCAGAATACAATTAATCTTACCAACTAGTATATACAAAAAATTCATCTACAGTATAAAATGGGTGACAGCTCAAGAATTCTTTTAATTTTAATTTAAACTGTTTAATATCTTTATATAATTGCTTCAAATTTAGTGGGAGACAATTGAATAGTTTGATGCCCATATAATATGAGCCTTTTTGATATAATGATAAATGAGTTGAGGGTTGATATAGATTTAGGTTGAGTACCTGTTTAGTGTGTCTATTATGTATATCAGATACAAAATAATATTGATCCATGCTATCGACCACAAAAGATAGTAGTGAATAAATATACAACGATGAAAGAGTAAGAATTTTTAGAGTAGTGAATATCGTTTTACATGAGTTTCTATCACCAGCACCAGTTATTTGCCTCACCGCCCTCTTTTGCAAACAAAAGACATTGATGGCGTACAAAGAGTTACCCCAAAAAATAATGCCATATCGAATGAGAGAGTGAAAATAGGCATAATAAACCATCAGCCAAGTTTCCTCATTTACAAATGATTTTATGACTCGGACACAGAGCTAAGTTTCGGGATAAGTGAGTCAATATGAGTTTTCCAAGTCAGAGTATTTGCAATATTAACCCCTAAGAACTTTAAACGGGTTGAGTTGGGTATTTCCATGTTATCATATACTATCTTTATCTCATGTTCGTGCATATTTTTTTATTAAACTTGACAAATTCAGTTTTAGAAAAGTTTAAGCGCAATAAATTAGCATTAAACCATAATTTTAATTTATTGAGAACTTCGGTCACGCTATGCAGGAAAATTAGAGGATCTTGATTGGATATAATCACCCTAGTATCATCAGCAAAGAGAATAGGATAGAAAATCCTATTTAATACTCGTACTAGAGGCAAATCATTAATATAGATCAAGAATAACTGGGGACCCAAAATGGATCCCTGCGGGACACCATGGGATATTAAGCCCCAATTTGAATAGGTATTTAGGTTACTATCTTTACCTTGTAATTTAATTCTCTGAAATCTTCCTTTAAGATAAGATGCTATCCATTTATGCATCGGACCCATAATACCATAGAATTCCAACTTAGATAATAAAATCTTGTGATTGACACAATCAAAGGCCTTTTTCAAATCACAAAATATTCCACCCACATTATGGCCAGCATTTAGGGCAGTTAAGGTCAGGTCAAGCAATCTATTAATGGCCTTTTCAGTGGAAAAATTCATTCTAAATCCAAACTGTTCACTGGCTAAAACATTGTTGATAGTCAAATGATGACAAAGTCTTACAAACACCACTCTCTCAAATATCTTCGAGAAGGAAGTTAATAAGGATATAGGCCTATAATTATTGATAAGATTTTTATCACAGTTTTTATATATAGGTTTTATCTCTGAGAATTTTAACCTATCAGGAAATATACTGGTAGCTAACAATCTATTTATTATATATTTTAAGGATGAGGTAATAAAGTGTTTACAACTTTTTAATACTTTGATAGGGATCTCATCATACCCAGTAGAATTGGTCGTTTTCAATTTGTCTATATTTTTTTCAATTTCATTTGTTGTAACGTAACTATAATTGATCGGAGGGAAAATGGTTGTAAATATATCAGTTAAATATACATTAGCCTTATTACATATGTCAAATATATCACAATTTTTTAGTGTAATTTTGGTAATGGTCTCCGCTATTGATAAAGAATATTTATTGAATGATTCGGCAATCATTTTAGTATTGATATATGATCTATCTGGAGCACTCAAGTTCGATATAATTTCATGATAGGGTTTCCTCCCAGTCAATGATTTAACAATATTCCAGTTGGTTTTAGTTCTATTATTGGAGTTTATAATTAGTTTATCATAATATGAATGTTTGGCTTCCATAATATTTCTACATAAATCTTTACAGAATAGCTTATAGTAACTTTGTATATTAGGGTTATTACTCTCCTTACAGCTTAAATACAAATGTCTTTTTATGCTACATTTAGTTTTTATACTAGATGATATCCATACTTTAGTATCAGTATGGGGTCTAGTAAGACATTTGGGAAAACTATTACAAAAGTGTCTTAAGAAAATGTTTAAGAACGCATTGAAAACAGCGTTCACTTCAGTATTATCAAATACTTCATTCCAAAGTTCATTACTAAGATTATAATTAAAATTTAACAAAGAATATTTGTCAATTTTTCTTAGCATTCGTAAACATTTAACATGAGAGGGCATAGTAATATCATGGATCAATATTAATTGCGCATCATGATCAGACATACCATTATACATAGGTGATAATTCAAATTTTCCCATTCTGCAGTAATTAATAAATATATTATCGACAGTTGATTTAGAAGTATTGGTTATTCTAGTATGGAAGTTAACAGTACTAGAGAGATTGTAAGAGTTTAATAGGGAATTGAGTTGATTCTTTTTATGATTATCAGTGAGGTAATCAATATTGAAATCACCACATATAATGAATTCAGTTTTTGATGTGTATAATGATTTGAGCACTTCATCCATTTTGAATATAAAATTACTAAAATTACCGGAGGGGGCTCTGTACACAGAAAATATAAATATATGATGGTTCATGTCGAATTTTTACTGCACAAAGTTCTATATCAAATTCTACACAATATTTATCAAGATTTACAGCAACAAATTTTATATAGTTGAGAACAAATATACATGTTCCACCTTTCATAGCATTATTTCTACAAAAACTGGCCCCAACCACGTAATTTTCCATTAGTGTTGTAAATTTCGGCATTCTTTAGATGGTGCTCACTAATACAAATGATATGTGGTAGCTCAGGGTATAAGAAACTTAGCAGTTAATTGATTTTAGATTTAAAACCACAGATATTCTGATGGCAGATATTTAAAAAATTTGTTGAGACACATGATTTACCACTTTTACTATTCAATCTATTTAAGTGTGATAAATTACTGTAATCTTGGTTACTAAAAATACTAGTTGGGTTTAACTTTCCCATAAAAAATCACCTGTTTTTGTTACCAGCTTTTTTCTAATACATTTACTCTTGTTACCTTCATCAGTATTCTGTGGTAAAGTATTATTGGCAGTAGAAGAATGACTAATTAACTGGGCTTGAAACTCATAATAGCCAACTGGTATAATATGGCTGCTCAAATTACTTGTCTTTATTATAAGGGAAAAAATAAGAGGAGCCAGATTAAGGGAAACTATCTTTTTTCTCGGCCATTCAAGTGAAGCCCATGTTTAGTATAATAATGCCTATTTTCATCTATTTCAAGAACACTAAGATGAGAGAACAGTTTACCCAATTTAATTAATCTTCTATTAAATTTGGTAATCTCATTATTAATACTGCTATTAGCACCTTCTAAGTCATGTCTAGTAGGAATTGTTAATAAAACAATCTTTGTGTGAGTAGTTCTCTTGATAAAATCAATTAAATCGCTAAAAACCTCACTTAATTTAACTCTGCCTATGTCATTAGATCCAGAGGAAAGAATAATAAAATCACTAGATAATAACTTAATAATCTCATTAGGTGTTTGTTCTAATATACTCTTTGTTCCCGCTCCAGGTTTGATAAAACCACTTACTTGGAACTGGTGAACTTGTGAAATCAAATTGAAATCTTGGAGCTCAGCTTCAGCAGGGTTAACTTACAAAGCTAATTCTGTATCTGAAATATTTATTATAAGCCACCATATGGAATGAAAAAACAGTTTGTTCACAGGTTATGCCTGCTTTAATGATTTTATATTTGCTAAGTTCAGTAAGATTACTAGCTGCTTGGATGCAGCACCATATAGTCTGGTATGTGTTTACTGAGGTTCTGGAAGAATTTGCTGCTTCCACCTTGAGGGACTCCTCTACCCTGAAAATTGAACCAACATGTTCTACCAAAACACTGCTATACATCAGACTACATGGTATCACATCCCAGTGGGATATGAAAATAAAATTAAAGCAAATAATCTACACAGAAAAGGGCTCATGTCTAGCTCTCAGGGCAATACATGTCCTCTCCAAATATAAAATCATGGACAAGAATGGTAGAAAAATTTTTTCTTTTTAACTGTCCACTGCCAAGTTCCACACCCTGATCCAAAATGGTGAATATGGACAGCACATAAATGGTATGTCATATACAATAATGTCCAGTAAAGCATGGAACTATGGGTCTTCTTGGCCAGGGTTTGATCGTGGGTGGGATTTGTGGTGGACAAAGTGGTGCTGGGGCAGGTTTTCTCAGAGTACTTCGATTTCCCCTGCCAATCTTCATTCCACCAATTGCTCCACAGTCACCCTCACCTATCATCTGAGGCTGGTACAATAGGCCAGAAGTGGCCACAATGCAAGGGACTTAGTCCCACCCCACTAGCAATAAAAGAAAGGGTCTTCTTCATTCACTTTCTTAAATTTTAATTTCATGAGCACATGTTTTATAAATCTGGCATAAATGGAATGATACTATATTAATTCCTTCAAGATGAAAGAAAATCACTGGTGCTAAAGGAGGAGGGGGAAGGGAAAGCCAGACACCTACTGCACCACTGGAATTTTAGAAGAAATCAAATTGGAAAAAAGAAATGCATCATACATGAATAGCAGATCAAAGAGGATTTTTAAAAGCTATTATACGTCTGTCCCAAATACATGAGAGTGATAAATAAAAATAATCTTAAATAGCTTAAACATTAAGCTTTCTTAGCATATTTTCTAGTTGCATCCCTTGATAGAAATCGGCATGGCACCCATGCTGATAATAGGGATAATTCCATTAATATCTGCTCTAAGAGGGTGCCAATGACACTTGTTAAAGTCAGTAGGGTATTTTCCAGCTTAACACAGATCTGAAATATTTTATATTGATGTCATCAAGTTTCTCCTTTATAACTCAAAGAATAATAATTAAATTGACTTCAATAGCGTATCCGAGTTTTCGAGTTCATTAGGGTAGGAATGTGACTACCATGTTGAATCATGCTTGAAAAGGAAGAATTTATCATGTAGAAACAAATTATTGGAAAGTATATGCTATCATTTAGTAAATGCACTTTCCATAATATTGCAACTGGTAAAGCAAACACAAAAATATCTTCCTTGTGTGCAGCTATGCTCAAAATATATTCAAATATTCCACACAACTGTGTTATTTAAGATCAAAATTTTCCATATCACTTCATTTACCTGCTTTGAACTCATTGTCAAACTGCAGCCCTGTAACATTACTATGAACAAATAATAACTAAAACTCTTCCACAGAGCACTAATCAAATGTTCCTTATGTCTCCAAAAAACAGAGTCCATTTCTTTGCATACTCTTTATTTACAAAAAAATGCAATACATGTACATCGCTTAGGGCAAAAGTCGGCTGTACTCCAGGAAGAATGAACTCTTCTTAACTCCATCCCATACTTTAGATGCATAGTGGAACCTGCAACAGTTTGTATACTCTGTAATAAAATGTTGAAAGTATGTAAATCCTCTTCTTTACTGTTGGAAATGCAATTGCCTATAAACTGCTTTCCATGTTACTATATACAGTATAACCATTAAAGTACAAATATGGTCTAAAACAAAAAACATCACTGTAACAACAAAAATTAACAGCACTTTCTGTTTCCTAATATTACATATACAAAAAATCGCGCATAAAATTGGGTCTCCTTTAACAAATCCTCTGGGCCTCACCTGTGTCTAGGAGAATGAAGTCCACATTCCAGAATCTAACTGAGCACTCTATGTCTCAACAGAAATTTTACTAAACCTTGAGAGAGATGTATTATACTCATGTGCATGCATTATTCTAATGTGATTGAAAACATTCAGAAGACTGTTCAAAATGTTATGTAGTCACAGTAACAGATGATTTTTTTTTATTTACTTAATTAACAGCATATTTACAATCTACTCTCTATAATATGGAGTAATAAGTAAATTTGTTCTAAGTAGGTGTCTTGAGTAGAGAAGTCATCCACTGATGATACACTGACAGGTCCTGTAGAGGAATGGTGTGGTAGGTCAGATGGCCACTGCCTCCTCAATCTTCTTCTTACATTTGATGGGTTGCTAATTTCTACAACTAGTCTGTTATTGTGTCCAAGTATGCTTCAGTGGTAGATTGTTCACAATCCATGTATTTCTCCTATAATGAATAGGATTTGCAAATCATTGTGGATAGTAAAGTTGGAGACATACCAAGGTGCTTTAGTTACTGAGCACAAGAATTTGGATTGAAGTGTCTGATGATTTTGTACAGCCCCATAGTTGTATACCATATGTCCATATGGGTTTTATTATGCACTTATATTGTAGAAGTTTGTTTTCTATGGATAGCTTGGATTTAAGGCCCAAAAGCCATGACATTTCTCATAGTTTTAAATTTAAGTTCTGACACTTTATTTTGACATGTTTCTGCCATGTCAGTTTGTGGTCAAGGTATAATCCCCAAGTATTTTACTTCAGTTTGAACCAGTATTTGCATATTATTGATGGTAACCTGCAGGCAAGTTATGCATTTCATTGTGAATGTAACTTGCAGTGATTTTGTCTGGTGATTTTTTAAGACTATATTTTGAGCAAATTGATTGGTTCAAGGTCAAGTCCCCACCAAACTGTAGCCAATTATAAATGTTTGTAATATTACTAATGAACTTCTCTTCAATCCTGTAGCTTGTTTCATTGTGGTACACTGTGTCATATGCCCAGCTAATGGGAACTGAAAATTTTTGTGCAGTTGTGTCCCATTGTTTAAGTTGAAGAATGTTCAATCCTAATTATGGAAACAAAACTTAAATGATTAGACTTGAATACTGATCTCCAAGTAACAGATCTCTGTGAAGTTCAGTGGCTCATAAAAGAACAAAATACGGCTACATGGATCGAGTTCTTTGACATTCTCTGCATTTTAAAGAACAGGCAAAATATGATCAACTGTTATGTTTGATGGAATATAAATGACACAAAAACAAATGCGTAACATATGAAATGTAGATTTTGAGTCAGTTTCATGGCTTCTTTCCATTTCTACATGCTCTGTCTACTCTATATCCTCTTCAATGATTACCACAAGAGCACTAGGTTAAGAATATAAACCATTACATTCTCCTTAACATTTTATTTTTTATCAGTATTCAGTGGATAGGAAGCTGGGTGAATCTGAGTGCTAGTCTAGACAAAATGGTGAAGAGAAAATCTCTGCCTTCACTAGGAATTGAACTCTTGATACCCCAGTTGTCCACCCTATACTGACTGAGCTACACAGGTTACATTCGTTTTTGGGCTAAAAGTTCAGAATTAAAAATGAACCCTGTTCATAAGTATAGTAAATGTGAATGTTGTCTTAACTAGATCATGCAACAGAAAATTAAACATAACCACCTTCTAGCTCAAAGTTCAAAATCCTGTAAGAAACACAACTGCAACAAATGCATCTGGTGTATTATAAAAGTTTTTATATTAGTTTCTCAGTAGATGTCATTAAATAGCTTATCGGTCAGTTTATGCCATCCAAAACCATACTGCATACCAGTTCTTCTCAGAGAGAGTGCTGTGTGTGATGGGATGGCGTGTGACTCCATGGATCTGGTTCCGCAATTTTGACAGTAGCTCAGTGAACCCAGGATGACCTCTGTAATGACCATCCTCTTCTGAAACAACAACCAGGCTTTACAATACTTGACTCTTTACACATAGGTTTCCTTATAATGATCTCAAATAAAGGTGTCACACCTATATCTCCAATTTCTGGTAACAGGAACAAGTTGATGGCTTCTCCACATGTGGCAGGAGTCAGGAAGTTGATTACATTCCCTGTGGCAATACCCATACCACTCTGGATCTGAAGTCTTGACCTCAAGAACGTTCGGTTGTACACGGTCTGAAATATAACCTCATGATCAGTGTTGAGATCCATCAAGTATAGGTCCCACACAAAGAGGGACCATGAAATGACTTGAGACTGCTGGCAGAATCAGGGTAGTACATCTTGTTTCACTTCTGTGAGGTTCTGGGATATAAAATACTGAGCAGGTAATCACTTGTTCAGTGCACCAAGGGATAATATGAGGAGCTGATGCTAAGCAAATGATAAATATACAAAGAGCTTTCAACGAAATGTACAAAAGCTTTGATACTAAATGTAAGATTGCCTTGTGACTGAGCGCCATGCCATGAAGATGTACAGGGTAGTGGAAGCGTAGCTCCATGCATTTATAACCTCAGTGTCACACACTGGCCATTTTTCATCCAGGGAAAGAGCCTCCATTACCCACTGCATAGGAAGATGTGTGACCCCCAAAGGCAGTTTGGACAAGATAGTGAAGAGAAAAATTTCTGCCCTCACTAGGAACTGAACCCTAAATCTCCGGTCATCCAGCCCATGGCCCAGTCACTACACCGAATGAGTGACACCAGCTCGTACACACATTTTATAAAGGAAAAATATGTATTAGATACAAGGTGTGGCAATAAAGAAACCGGATTCATGCTCTAACCCTTTATTAAAAAAAATCAGACAGTCGAAATGTTATCCCCTTCAATGTAGTCCCCTCCCCGATCCCTACACCGCTCCATGCGAATTTTCCACTGTTGGAAGCAGTGCTGCAGGTCATCTTGTGTTATGCTCTTCAAGAGTTGCGTCGCTTTTGCTTTCACTGCATCCACGGACTCGAACCTGGTCCCTTTCAGCGCAGACTTGATTTTTGGGAAGAGAAAAAAGTCGCACGGTGCTAGGTCCGGAGAATACGGTGGATGTTCCATCACTGGAATGTTGTTTTTTGCCAAATACCTCTTCACAGATAGCGCGTTGTGTGCTGGCGCGTTGTCGTGATGAAGAACCCATGAGGCATTCTTCCACATGTCTGGTCTCCTTCGTCGCACACGTTCACGGAGGTACGTCAAAACATTTTTATAATAAACCTGATTGACAGTCTGACCTTCAGGCACCCAATCAATGTAGATTACCCCCCGGATATCGAAAAAAACAATCATCATTGCTTTGAATTTGGACTTGCTCATGCGCGCTTTCTTCTTCCTAGGGGATTTGGGGCTCTTCCAATGCATGGATTGTCGCTTAGTCTCTGGATCATATTGAAGAATCCAAGTTTCGTCACACGTAATTACGTTTTGGAAGAAATCAGGATCATTTTCAATGTTTTCAAGAGTGTCAACACAGCAATTCACTCGATGTTCCTTTTGCTGGGGGGTAAGGATTTTTGGCACCACTTTAGCACACACCTTTTTCATGCCCAGATCGTCGTGCAAAATCTGTCTAACACTTTCCTTATTGATGTTCGTAAGTTCAGAAATTGCTCGAATGCTCAGTCGACGATCTCTTCGAACAATTCTAGCGACCTTCTCCACATTCTCTGGAGTTTTCGCAGTGGGAGGACGGCCCGATTTTGGATCGTTCCCGACGTTTTTCCTACCCTCCATAAACTTCTTAAACCACTCGAAAACTTGCGTGCGAGATAGACACTGATCACCATATACTTCTGTCAACAAATTGTAAGTTTCAGTGGCAGATTTTCCAAGTTTTGTGAGGAATTTGATGTTAGCACGTTGTTCTGCATTAGCACTCAGCATTATTCCGACGGAGCTCAGAAACACGATCCGCTTCTAACAATGGTCGCGGCCAGACTAACCGATGCACGTGAATGAAACTTTGTGTGACGGTAGAGGGAAGTCCAAGGGTCAATGCCCTACCCTCCTCTTCATCAATGACGTGGCCGGAAATGAGTCATAAAAGTAATCCGGGTTCTTTATTGCCACACCTTGTAATTCATAATGTTTCATGGCAATCATATGGAAGCTTGCAACATGACAGACAGTGACATGTCCTTATCTGCAGAACCTTCCAGAATGTTATTTACATCTATCTGGTACACATTTGGATCGATCTGGCTCAGGGTAGGGACCAGTGGAAGGCTCTTGTGAACATGGTAATGAACCTTCAGGTTCCATAAAATGCTGGGAAGTTCTTGAGTAGCTGCACAATCGGCAGCTTCTCAAGAAGGGCTCAGCTCCATGTAGTTAGCTTAGTTATCTGGTACACAATAATATCAGCCTCAAACCTAGCATTAATTCTTAAAATGACGTTATGTAGAGACCTCAAGTGTAAATTCATGTCTCCACCTCCTTCACTTAATGCATAACCTTATACTTCCAGTACCATTTATATAAGAAAAACAGTTACTTCCTCAAGGTTAACAGCTAGTAGATGAGATACAGTAATTTCTGTATGTGGTAACACCATCTGCTATGGACATGTCACACTAAATATCTCTTCCTCTGAATTCTTTATTTAAGTGTGTGTGTACATTTCAAATACTCTGTATGTACAGCAACAAAAGATCTTCAATAATTTTTATTTATATAGATGTAAAACATTTCCGATTAGATGCAAGAGTTAATGCTGTATATATATAACATTTTCACAGCAGAGGATATAATCTGGCTTTTTTCCTGAGAGAAGAACAAATTCAATCAAGATGAACTCTGAATATCCGAAAATTAGAAAACAAACCTGCATCAACTTGACCTGCGCAGGACTAAAGTCAGTGGTGGTAGCACGATTCTGCAAGAACAGCAAATGTGGAAAGTACTCAATAATTTCCTCATCTTGTGATGTGGTAGGAGTGGAAGGCTTCAGCATCTCTGCTGACTGGAGGAACCTAGCAAAGTGACAGTGTGTTACACATTCATTTCCAAACATATAGATGGCAGAGTATCTTACAGAAGTTACTTTCAATTTCTGAGTATGTGCATCTCAGTCTGATTATCTACACAAATGATTCATGTATTAATCAACATTTACCATATTCCTGAGACTTATTTGCTTTTATCCAGGGGAGAACCTTAATTAGCAAAATAAACCATTTTAAAAGAAACTCCAGGATGGATCATCATGCAAACAGGAGTTAATTTACGTACAAACAGAAAATCAGAATGATACAAGAAGCATACCATCTTGTGGGACATTATACCACATAATGTGACAGAAATTTACTGATGACTGAAGGAACATACTGCCTCTATCTTCAGGGGTTAAAAGTAAGCTAAGCAAGCAACAAACAGAGAATGATGAATTTAAGCCAAACTTTAAGAATAATTTGTATGTAACTGATCACAACATTGGATATACCAGCACGCAAGGACCCACAATGGCTCATTCAACACAGAGACTGCCTGTAGCATTGGCGAATGTTCAATTCTCGGTAGGGTCAAATTTTTTTCTCTTGACCATTAGCAAGACTTGCTCTGTGCTCCAGACATCCTCCTATCAGGCTGTTACTGACAGAGCCTTCCTGTGTCCATTTTAATGTGAGATTTATGTATTTATGGCTTATTTCACAATGCTGTCAGTAGCTCAGAATGATAGACTGATCAGTGAATAATGAATTGGAAAGGATGTTAAAAGAAGCTGTCTTGGACTAATCTGAGCTAGCATTCTGGCATTTACATGGAAAAAGTGAGGAAAACTATGAAAAAACGTCAGGATAGTTGGTTTCCAGGCCAAGACTTGATCGTGGGACCTCTTGGATAAGAAGCAGGAGTATTACTCACATGACTAGGGCATTCAGAGGTCTAGGATGACAGAACCTTGTGTCTCCTTACATACCAAGGCACCTATGTTCAAGGTGAATATGCATAAAAGCAAACTGTCTGCAATGTTAGCATCACCAACAATTTGGCAAGGATCAGCTGGTGTCATTTTTAAAAGCATGAGCACTTCTATATTACTCCCCAAACTGTTGAGAAATGAGATATGAATCAGCTTCTGATACATGACACTGTGTAGTTTGGCCAAAGTGTAACATTTGTGAGAAACCTATACCTCCATTTTCACTATGCTACAAGCCAGAAGGTTGTGGGATCAAATCCCGATGAGGTGGATTTTTTCAGTTTACATAATCCTTCCAGCCGCACTACGGCCCTGGGATCGACTCAGCCTCTAACAGAAATGGGTACCAGGAATACTGGAATATTCCTGGGGGTTAAGGGCGGCCACTGCGTAAGACTGACAACCTCACCACCATTTGTGAGCCAACTGTCTAGAAAATATGGGAGCCTCAACATCTCACAACCCTACGGGCCTCCACGGCCTGTTACAGGGATACCATATACCTCCATCTTCAGGGCTGAATAAGAAGCCAATTTCTCTGAAATATTGGCAAACTTACACAGCACAACATCCCAAAAAATAGTATTCCTATAGACACCACCACGAGAATATCAATGCTCCATGTTAAAATATGTCCAAAATGTTATAGGAAAGATTTTTCTTTTTCATGGATTATTTTATGATGCTTTTGGTATCTAGATTATGCTGTGTAAAATAGCAGAATGACAGATGAATTGGAAAGAATTTGGCAATAGGCATGGCCTAATCACAGTAATATTCTGACAGTTGCCAGAGGGGCTGAGGAAAACCACAAAACACCTCAGTCAGTATTCCCAGTGCCCCAGCAGGATTTAAAACAAGCA